TTGCGCTTGCCTCCCAGGGCCGGGAAGAGCCCGCAGCTCTGCAGCCCGTAGGGCAGGTCGGCGGCCGGCTGCAGGTAGACCCCGCCGTGGGCGAAGTAGCCGCCGCCCCCCGCGCCGCCGCCGCCGCCGGCCTCGACTCTGCCGGAGCTGATGAGCGAGTCGACCAAAAAGGAGTTCGCGGCGGGGCTCTCGGAGCATGACATTGTTGTGGGATAATTTGGCGAAGGGAGCAGATAGCCCTTTCTGGCTGACATTTCTTGTGCAAAACATGCTGAGTAGGATTAGCAATCCCCCCGCACCGCGGCGGGCGCCCGCAGCCAATCCCGAGCCAGGGTTTCCGCGCGACCACTCCCAGTTTGATTTCGTAGGCTTGGGGCCGCTCTCCGAGGGCGCCCTCCGAGCCCGCGATTGATATAAATATGTAATCTGTATTGATGGGCCGCGAGACGCGCGCCCCGCACCTCAGCCCGAAGGCCAGCAGCTGCGGGGGCCGCGCCAACGCGGCCGCGGAGGGGGGAGGAACCTGGTCCTGGGGCTCGCCCGGCCCCTGCCCGGGCGTGAACCCTCTTTCCGGGTCTGTGTGAAGGGTCCTTCGGCCCCGTGCTGTTAACAAGTGGGGTGTTTATGGTGTGCACCCTGGCCCGCCTTGGGTGCACCCCTTCCTTGTTTCGGAATCCGCCACTAGCCCTCCGTACACTCTCAACACTAAGGGGTCCTCTCAGGGCCTCAAGCTCTTCCCATTCAGCTCCTCAGCCGTCTCCCAAAAGTGGTGGACCTGGTCCTAGGCCACCAGGACCCTCAGAGTGTCCAAAATCCAGAGCAGACTGGAAGCTGACAGTTGCCACTTATTTATTTATTTTTTGCTTCCCACTCAGAATTTCCCCCCAAATGCAACGCCCTGGACTCTCAGCCCCCTACGCGCGCCTCTGCCAGTGTGCTGATGGACATAGGGTCTTTGCCTCTGGTGCACTCCTGCGGCTTGCCTGTCGGGGGACCTTGGTGGGCTAGCATGAGTGGGGGTGTGGAAGCAACTGGCGACCTGAATGACTCCTGCGCCCCTGCTCTGAGTCCAGGTCCAGGCGCCCCACGGCCCCATCACCCCGTCGCGTCGGGCTCCCAGCTGCAAGCCCTTTCAGGGAAGTGAAAGGAACATTGGTCTTTAGGGTCTTTGCCAGGCCCTGAGGTGAAGACCCCAGGGGGAAACTTGGAGGAGGGGCGGCCAACGGACACCCCTGACACAGTGTTCTCCAGTTCTCCCTTTAGCCTTGGCATTCGCCCGCTCCTGGAGGCTCTGTATGACAAGAACCAGTGTCACCAAGCTCCTGCCTCTCCGACCCCTCCCTCTCCCCCCTCCCCTCCAAACCCGAGGCTGGGGCAGCGCTGGCTCCCGCGGTGTGCGCATTTTAACGAGGCCCCGCGGTGAGGAAATCCGTTCCCTGCGAGGCCGGGCTAGGCTCCTGGCCCAGTGACAGGAGCCTTCAGAGGACAAGCCCTTTGCTCAGCGGACCCCAGGGTCTCCTCCTTCCTGGGCCGTCGGGACGCGCTTAAGTCAACTGGAAATGGCCGGCCCGGGGCGCTAGCCCCCAAGTGCGGGCCTCAGACGTGTCTCAGGAAATTCGACCTTTTCCGGCCGGATCCAGCGGAGCCCAGGAGGTCGCGGCCTTGCCCCTGGCCTGCGGGCTACAGCTCTCCGGGATGCCCCCGGCCTGCCCGCCCCACCAGCTCCAGCCCCTGCAGAGGCCTTGACTGGGGCTGCAGGACGCGGAGATCCTAGGCAGCCACCGCTCAGGCCTCTGCGCGCGGGGAGGGACCCGTGCGTCCCCGGTGCTTTGCCAGGCATTTGGCCTGGTTGTTCCGAGTATCAACCAAGTCCGAGGAGGAAGCGAAGCCAGAGAGGACCCAGGGAGAGCTCACGGGAGAGCAGGCGACAGAGCCTTGGAGCTGGCTTCTGAGATGCAAGCAGTTGCGGTCTCTGCCGGCAGCAGCTACTCGGAGCGCAGAGCGCCGGAGGCCGCGCCAACGCTCGCGCCGAGCTCTAACCACTTCCACCTCTGCTACCCGAGGTTACCGTCCGCGGACCTACCGGGCATCTGGGGTGCAGAGAAGGGGAATAGAGAAGGAAAGAGCGAGAGGGACAGAGGGAGAGAGGGACTGAGGGAGAGTAAAGCCAGTCCTCCCCAATCTGACAGGGTCCTGAGGCTGCAGCATCCGCACAGCGGAATCAAGTGCGCAAGATTAGAAACTGCCCTTAGCTCTCCAGCTCTCCACGTCGCTCTTATGCACAAGGCCAAGGCAAATTCTAACCTGGCTAAGCCCCAGAGGCCAACGAACTTGAGCACAGAAAAGTTTCAGAGCACCGCAGCTCCGGACCCTTCCCTGATGGATGGGCCTGGTCCTTACCCCGCTTGCCTTGCCAGGAGGGTGGAACTGACTAGGACGGCTGTGCTCAGCAGTGCTGCTGAGAAATGCCACAAAGCTGAGGGCTACCTGAGAAGGGGGCTTTGCCCCTCCGTACTCTTCATACCTCTCAGGAAAGCTCTGCCAAGTGGAAAGTAGGTCACAAGAACAAGAGAGGGTTTCTTGGGGAAAACATGGGCCCCAGCAGGCCAATGGGTTGGGACGTTGTGCCCCTCCAGATTAAATGCAGAAAGCAACTATCCAGGCCACAGGGTGGGAAGGGCCAGTGGCCACAGGATAGAATGCTTGAGATGGGGCGGCTCAGAAAATAAAGTGAACGACTATGATCTAAACCCGTCTTTCCTAACCTTTCTGGAAGTTAAGGCCCCTTTGCAAGATCTATGGCCAAGTTCTGCCTCTTGACCTGTGAAAAATAGAAGCCTGTGCATTTCCACTGTTTGACCCACCATTTTCAAGGAGCCGAGAAGGCCCTCCAGAATATTTCAGGACTCTCCAGGAATTCAGCGCCCCTGTTAGTTTGACTGATAAGACAAGCCCTGTGCCCTGCTGTAGGCAGCTTGGGCCTGGTCTGATCAGGGCCCTGTAGGGTGGCCAAATGGGCTTCTAGGCTGGATGGGATCCAAGAGTGTGCACGTGCCGATCCAAGTTACAGAAGTCAGCTTGGTACTGCATCTGCTACAAGGAGGTTGCTGGCTGCTGGCGCCCAGGCCATGGCATTGGCACTTGGGTCTTCACCGATCTTTGGGGAGAGCTGGATGTTTTCCTCCAGCGTCGACTCCCCCACCCCATCCCTTGTAATAAACCAATTGGAATGTTTTGTTTGTGCTGTTTCTTGCCCCCCCCTTTTTTTTAAGTGTGTAAACCAGTGTGGGAGCCCCTCTCTGACCCAGGACCACTACCCAACCCCCACCTGGGCTTGCAGTGCCAGGAGTGAAAGGAGAGGCTGCGGGTAAGCTTGGGGCGCACACTGGTCTGCCGCGGCTGGTTCCAACAGAAAGGTATCAGCATAGCAGAAGCTCAGGCTAAGCCCTCTCAGCCTCAGAGCCCTCAGCATCCCCGACCGCCCCCGAGGCTCCACGCTCCCCAGACTGTAACATCGAGGTGTTAGCTTGCTCAATAGAATATTCCACTGATCGAAGGCCTCGGCTTCCCTGAGGTTCCCCCTCCCCCTTCCAGAGATTAAGAAAAGCGATTCAATTGCAGCAAGGGTGGACTTCTAGACTTACTCTCTGCTGCTGGCCCCTTTGCCTTCTTACCCCCTCTCTCTCTCCCTTTCGCCCTCCCTCCCAGATGCCGAATTTCTCTATCACTTCTGTATGCCTTTGACCTAAAACTCTCAGCGACTCCTCGCTTCAACCAGGCCTGTGCAGGGTTATCTGAACCCTGCCGGAGCCCACGTTTTATTTAGGAGTAAATATCAACTATTTCTACCTGTATAATAATACACCCCCCCCCCCC